TTGTGTGATGTGTTGAGAATACTGAGAAAGTGATTTTATCGAACCTCCCTGAAAAAAAGAGCTGTACACATCATGACATTAGACAAGGACACCATGTTTCGCCCATTCTCCTGACCATATGAAATATGATACATGAAACTGGAGCCACTATGGAAACCACACAGAGAAATAATGAAGCATCTGACCAAGAGATCTGTTGATGTGTCATGCATGATCTGGCACCTTAAGGGAATAATGCTATATTGCATTTCCAAGCATTGCAACTGCAGGTGGCACTTTACTTTTTATTTATTTATTTATTTATTCTAAATGCAAGGCATGCACTTGTATCATGTTTATAAGAAGCAACAAACCTACAACCAAACCCTTGTGAAAAAGACATGAGCTCAATCATAATATATACAGTATATATGTATATATATACAGTATATATATATATATATACACACTAATTCAAAAAACACTCTAAAGTTAAATTGCATATGTATTATATTTGAACTATAATACATATTTATTTCATTGCAATTAATATGCGATTAAGTGTAAAAAAACATTACATTCAGTTTGCCTTTAAATATATTATTTTAAAGTGTATTATTTCCATAATAAGAACTATTTTTAAAAGTATGCTAAAGTATACTTTTCACAAGGGAAGCTACAAAACTCTACCTCTACAGTGGCTTCTCGTCTCCTTGGTGTGTATTTATCACTGATTTGATGATGTCAGTGGGGGAATGGCTACCTATCAGTGGGTGGTGGAAGTCTCCCTGCGGATGCATAGCAGGCCTCTGACATCATTGTAAACCACGACATCACCGCCAGGAAAAGCCCACCAATAGCCCAGCATGAGGGGCTAAATAAACCAATAAAACAAATGATCTACAACTTATTGACTCAAACCACAGGTTACTGGAATGTGAGGACAGACTGTAAATTATAAAAGGAGCTGGAAAAATCAACACTCAGTGCTTGGAGCCAGTTGTGGTGTTTTTTCAACCGAGAGGAAAACCAATCTAAAAAAAAAAACTTGATTGAAATCTTGTGCTGTGAGGCTCGTCAAGTCAGTAAGGTGGATCACTGTTCAACTTGGTGTGGTTTGGCGACCTGGTCTCAAGCGCAGAAAATTGCATGAAGTGACGTAAATTTGTGAAGTAGTGGCTATTTTTCTCACCATGTCCTACATCGTGATATGTATGTGTAGCATAACAGGCGACATGCAAAAAAAATGCACTTACTGTATAACCCAGCACCATGGTCGACCCAGCAACTGGACGTTTCAATGTGAAGTTAATTATAAGCAAAGAACCTCAATCATTCACTCCTGAAAACAAAGTAAGCCTGGGATGGTTTGACAATTGTGTTCAAGAGCTAATGTCTACCAGCTGTGTAGTTATGGAGTGGAACGCCCCCCCACCACCACCTTACTACAGACATATATGCACAGAACCACAGCCAAACCCCAAGATTTTGTTTGTAAATCACCACTTAAGATAAAAGGGAAATTGAGAAGAATCATTGGGAGCCAGAGGGGCATGCCTCCTGCGTACCTGTCCCTCCTCTGTCTGCATGAGCAAAACTCTTCTTGCTCAGTTTAGCTGAGGCCCCACCGTTAGGTTCCAATGCACGTTAAAAAGCTCTATATAGACTCACTGCATTAAATGGAGTTCCTAACAAAACTTGGGTGTCCAATCGGCACCTGAACAAGTGTATGTTAGTGTATATTCTTTGCAGGGCCGTAGCTGGGATCAAACCATCCTTTGTTTTCAGGCTTATTTTGTTTCCAGGCCCGGTGCAGTTTGTAGCTGTGGGCTCTGGTTGAAATTGTGTTCCTTGCATTTGGTCCCCATCGGTTTAAATTATGTTTGATTCTGTGGGCCCCTAGAATCATCACCACCTTCCTTCCTGCTAGTGGCGGCCCTGATCCTACAAAAGTTATTTCGGCATTCCTCCACCACCCCAACTTCACCATCTTGGCTGGTTACCACTTAGACCAGTCAAGGAAGTCCTTGGGCAGTGGTTTCGACCATGTTGCCAGATCCCTCAACACTGCCTCCTTTCTCTCATAAACCAATTCCAGGTCTTGGAGTCTCTACTACTGAGCTGATGACCAGAATCAGGTGTGTCTGATTAAGAAGATGGGCAAAATGTGCACTGTTTGGGGGGGCTTCAGGAACAGGGTTTAGAACCACTGTCCTAGGGGGTACTTTGGGCTCAGGATCAATTTCAAGCTTGAACCCTCCATCATGGATGGCAATCAAAATGTGTATACCTCCACTTCATGAAAGATTACATGAACGTGTGAACTTGTGAACTAAGCCAATCATTCAGACGTGTGTCAAAGTTCAGTAGTGTCCATGTTTGCTGCTCCAAAAAAAGAAAAATTTCAGAAATCCTTTAGAAAAAATGTGGAAATACAACAGGTGTCCTCTGCAGAGGTAAAACAAAGTACTCCAGGGTTGACTCATTCACATCAAACCGCAGGGTTCTCAAAAGCTTACTGAATAACAGCTGTGCGACCTGGCACCGAATCAGCCCCTGGATTGCTTGATTAAAGGATAAGTTTGATTTTCAACCAGCTTTGTATTGTTACAATGCCTTTAGTATATGTTCATGAACAATGTGCACTCTTTCTCTGTGTTCTTTATGTGCTTGTTTATTTGTCAGCAAAAGTGTGAAGGTTCGATCTGTTGTTTTAGCATAAGCCCTGGAGTTCTATTCCCGCCTATGCACAGTCAGATCGACAGAGGGTCAGCACCAAGATCAAATGTGCAATATGCTGAAAAATGAACATATTTGTGTCATTGTGAACATTTAGAGGCATTTTGTCTTTGTTTTTCCTTCTTAAAGACTTTCAACTCTACTGTTGCATTTCTTCGGCATACACAAACAATTTTTAAAGGGGTCATATGATGCGA